TTGGCTAAGCTTATAAGATGTTTAAATGAGCTTATAAGATGTTTCAGAGCTTATAAGCTCTTCCAAAGTGTTTGGTAATTTTTTTTAAAAAGATCTTATTTTTTTTTTAAATAAGCTGTTGGAGAGCAAATAAGATCTTTTTAAATAAGTACCTCTACCCCACCTTTTTATTTAAGATCTTTTAATCTGTAAAAATAGGAAATAAGCTCATTATCCAAACATTCTAAAAATTAATCCTAAAAATAAGATGTAACAGCTTATCAGCTCTAAAAACATCTTATCAGACGTAAGAGCTTATCAGCTGTTTAAAACAAGCTTAGCCAAACACCCTCTTAATCCCACATAAAGATTGAGTTAAAATATAAATTTAATGGGATGATAATATAATGGTCATTTCCATATTTTTTTTCTTTTTTCTTTTCTAAGTCTACGTGGCATGATTTTTACAATGTGTTGAAAACATAAAGATTAAATGATGAAATAGTCATTCAACAAAGTGGAGAATTGCAGATTGCAAAATGATAGAAGGAATTTAATTAGCTTGGAAAATGAATATTTAAAATAAAATAAGTAAATAACAAAGCCCTAATAGAAGGAATTCAATTAGCACACAGTTCACACACTCATTCAAGAATATTTTAGGGCTCGTTTTGCTAAACTTATTTTAAACATCTGATAAGCTCTCGTACGTCTAATCATATGAACTTAGCCAAACACCCTCTTAATTATATCCCCACAAATAAATAAAACTGAGTTAAAATATTCTGCTGCTGAAGTGGAAAAAAGTGTAGCAGAGTTTTTAGGTTGGGAAATGAATAAATAAATAAAAACCTAATCTTTGTTCCTTTTTACACACAGTTCACACACTCTTACAACAAGATTGAAGTATATAATTACATCTCATAATTTAGCAGCTAACATTTGTTGCTGATCAAGTGGATATAACTACTACTACTGTAGCAGAAACTGTAGCTTGTGAATTTAATTAAATATATATTAATTAATATATATGATTAATATCTATATAAATATATATATCTCCATAGATGCTTAGCAAACAGTCCTTTTCTCAGGCAACGTCATTTTCTATATGTTAATAAAGAAAAAGACAACTTTCCTATGTCCTCAGTATTTAACCTGTTTTGAGGTATTGACCTGTCCCAAACCCTCTTCTTTTTTTTTTTTTTTTTTTTTTTTTTTTTAAATTTTTTTTATTAAATTTTCTTTACTACTACTACACTACTGCACCTCTCAATCTTGGACCAGAATGCTACAAAAAAACCTCATCTTTTCCAGTTATTTATTTATTTATTTTTTTGCACAAACTATGAGGGTTTTCAAACACATTTCTTGATTCATACTTTGATGTAATAATTATAAAAAAAATTAAAAAAAAGAAGGAAATAGGATGTTCAACAAGAACACATACATGATTCCTCATGGCTCTTCTCCATCCACATCTGTTCTTGATGTCAACGTCAACGAAATCTTGCTCCACCACCACGATATATTCTCCGGCCATTACTTGGCGGCAGCCGTCTGTCCGCCAGCCGACTCCGCCGCAGCAGCCTTGTTCAATCAAGATATCGGTGAACATTCGGGAACAATCCAGAACAGCACTTGCCCGAGAACTCCGAAGAGAGACCGCCACAGCAAAATCGACACCGCTCAAGGGCCGAGAGACCGGAGGGTGAGGCTCTCGATAGGGGTGGCCCGCAAATTCTTCGATCTCCAAGAAATGCTCGGTTTCGACAAACCTAGCAAAACCCTCGATTGGCTCCTCACCAAATCCAAATCCTCCATCAAAGACCTCGTCCACACCAAGCAGCAAAGTAATAACCCTTCGACCGGAGGGGTTGTCTCCTCGCCCTCCGACGAATGCGATGCGGAAAATGACGAATACGGCCTCGAAACAGAAAAGGATTCCAAGGGCAAATCGGTCATAACTAGTAGCAACAACAACAAATTGCATTGTAAAGGAGCTGGTTCGAAGGATCCGGCGAAGGAATCTAGGGTGAAGGCGCGAGCAAGGGCGAGGGAGCGGACGAGAGAGAAAATGTGCATTAAGCAGCTCAACGAAACACGAAATGCGACGAGCTACTGCGATTTGATGAACAACAACCCTTTGAATAACAATAATAATAATAATAGTAGTACTAATATCCCAATTCAGTACATGAACAACCAGCTCGAGTTCTGCAGAATATCAGGATCGAACAACGGGAAATTATGCGGGGCCCGCGAGCAGATGATGGTGCATTATCCGACGAGTACTAATTATCAAGAATCTGCCGGCGCCGGAGACCTAATTCAAGAATCCATTGTGATCAAAAGGAAGGTGAAGAACAACAATAATAATAATAATCATCATCATCCGCCATCGATCTTGGGGTTTCAGCCGAATCTTATCCTTTCGAGTTCCAACTACGGCGTCCCGTTTTCCGGTTATAATTACAATAACGCCACCGATCAAAATTGGGATGTTGGTGGATTTAACTCATCAGAGAACTTATCTGCCATTTTGGATCACCACAAGTTCAATAATAGGTAAAAAAATATCCAGCTTGTGATCTTTCGTCTACAGTTGTTCAACGAAAATTCGGACAAAAAAGTACGACTGGAGTCGACATATAATTAAGGTGAGACCTTTCTTTGATCTTGATCAGCAATTATCTGAAACTCCAAAATTTGTGGCGTAAGTTTATCCGGGATCGATCGATTTAATTGCGAATATAATCGATACCCTCCGATATTATTAATTGTTTTTTGATGGTTTTCTGTACTTAATTTACATTTTTATAACTATGTTGGTTGTAATATATATAAATATATTTTCATTCTATATATCCATGGTTTTGTGGTTTGACTAGGTTTATACCCCATGGTCATTACATGAACATGAAAGACAGTACTCACTTTGGACTGATATCTAAGCTGTCTTTTTCATAACATTATTTCTTGATTTTATTTATTTATTTTTTTCTTCTGGTTTTTTGCATTTCACACAAATAAATTTGGAAAAATTCTAATGTTAATCAACAAAATATATCCCAAATATAATCATTTAAATCACAATATATATGTGTAATAAAATGATGATCATAAACTAAAGTCCAACACTAAAAAGAAAACGAAATGTGAAATAGTTGGATTGGACTGAAACGATATAATCGACACTAACATAAGAAACATCTACGTATACCAACCGATTTGTCTCCTTAATTACTACCTAAATATAGCTAACTAAATATAATTCATCGATACTGTAATTACGAGATTTGATTTGGTCCGAGACGAGCTAAAAATGTCGTTTTCGATTTGTCATTTTTTATAGAAGTCTTGGTTCAGTGTACTGAAGAATGAACTGGTAGGTTTCAAAGGCATTTTAGTGTGACTTTCTTGAAAAAGAAAAAAAAAAATCAATTGATATTTTTGGCTATGTAATAAAGTTAAATAGTTAATTTGTTTGTGTGTGTGTGTGATTTTTTGAGGTTTGATTATGGAATTCTATCATAGAGAAAGTTTGTTGTAGTGTTAGATATTCATATACAGAGTCCAAGGTTAATTTTTTGACTAGGTTAATGTTTTTCAATTTGTTCCACAAAACTCAAAAAATTAAATACACAACTTCTAATTTAGAAAAAAACTGTATATTATTAATTTTTTTAAAGTAATATATTTTAATTTCTGCATTCTGGCAGTCCGTTCAATATTATAGGCATTTTCTTATAGAACATTATTGATTAAGGCTATTTTTTTTTTATTTTTTTTTAAATAAAATAGCACCCTAATTTAGACCTCTGATCTTGATTATTAAAATAAAATAAAAAAGTAATTATTACATGCAGATCAAGATGAAAAGTGATCCCTCTTCATTTGGTGTTAATTATTCTTTCAAAGAAAGCAGCTTTTGAGATGTAATCTATATTTTCTGGGACTAAAAAGTAATTTTACAACTGTTTGCAATAGTTGAACCAAACACAAAAAAATACTAGGAAAAAAAATTAAAAGTTATCACTACATGCTCAAAAAAGTTATATAGTTCAATTCCCAGATGCAATAGTAACAGTGGTTTTATCAGCAGAATATATATAATAATTCCTCAATCATAATTTAATAGGGTTGAAGAAAATAAATTAAAAAAGGCTAGCTAGCTATTATTATAAATGAATCAATTAAACAGTGATTGATGGAGTTATAGATATATTGAATATTTTTGAATGACAAATTGTTTGATATGTATAATGGTTTTAGGTAGAAATTAATGATTGTATATATGTGTTTTAGTTACTTGGAGCCCAGTGTCAAAAGTTTGACTCTTGATTTTTTTTTTTTTTTTTTTTAATTTGATTAAATGTAAATCTGTAGAAATGTATCAGTACCAGAAAATCTACTGTTTGTACATGATTGTTGTATGAAAATTTTGAAGTTCTTGATTTAGGGTTGCATTTCTTGCTTGAAACCCGGATGAGTGATTTGATTGGTTGGTGAAAAGATATTATTTTATTTTTTATTTTATTGGGTGAATTTTTTTTATTTTTTTTTGGTTATCTTTATTTTTCTATCTATTTTTATGAGATGGCATTATTTTATGATTTGCCACTACATTTTTATTTTTATTTGTTGTCACAACATATCATTTTTTTAGAACACAACATACTAATTTAGTGAAATAATTATATATGATGGAATTTTTTTTTAACTTTTTTTGGTGTGATACATATTAATCTCTCTCTTTTTTTTTTTTTTGCATTCGGTTTGGGGAGTCCAAATTCATTTATTTGAGTTAGGACTAATTTACATTCAGGGGGTTGATTTTGAACAATATATTTTTTTTGGTTTAATATGTTTTCGAGGGAACAATATTGAGAAGATTAAGTACGTAGTTCAAAAACCAAAATAGTGAGATTTTAAAACGATGTTTGCAAAAGTACTTTTTGTAAAAATAGAAGGCGGGATCGCGAGTAAACGTTACGATTTTTGTTTACTTCTCTAAGCTGGGGGTGTTTGAAATATCCTTAGAAACAACTTTTATGAGTTGATTAAAAGTTGTGGTGTTTGCAAAATAACTTTATTTTTAACATAGTTTTGTAAAATGTTTTAAATACTACAAAAAAATTAAGTGGTTCGAAAATGTATATACATTTATCGAGTTCGGGTTAGAAAATAAAAGCTCGAACAGACTAAAGCTCGAACTCGAAAAGTCTGTCATGTTCGACTCGAGTTTTACTCGTGGACACTTCTATTAAATAGTAGAAGTCAGTAACATGTTCAATTTATAAGGTTCAACCTAACTCGGATATGCTATCAAAGTTGAAAGTTCGCAACTTTAAATGTTAATTATCTATAAAATTAGTATCCAAAAATTAATTTTATAGCTAGGTATAAATTAGGGTATAGTTATTGCTAAATTATGAATGTTATTGAAAAATTTCATTTAAATATCTAACCTTAACTATTTAATACTCGGTCTCATTGAATAAGGTGGTGTTTGCAAAAGCTTATTTAAAAGCATAAGTTGATGATTATGAGTTACTAAAAGTTAGGGGTATTTGCAAAAAATCTGGATATAGTTACTAACAGACAACTTAATTAGTCAATAATAAATCAATCCAATCGAATCCAAATTAATCATAGGAAATAGTTATTATTATTATTATTATTATTATTATTATTATTATTATTATTATTATTATTATTATTATTATTATTATTATTATTATTATTATTATTATTATTATTATTAATAATATTTATTGGTAGAGAAAAAGACAGCACATGAACAAGGCAAGAACATGCTGTAAGAAGTACAGTTGGGAAATTGATTAATTTCCATTCTTCCCTACTCCGGATTTGGCGATGATTTCGATATTCCATTGGATATTTATTTTCTGACATACGAAACTATTTAAGTACCATCTTCTTCCCTTTAATTTACACATTTAGTATACTCTCCATTTTCATCATTCCCCCTACTTTTTATGGCTATTCATTATTTTTCAATAAAAAATTATTATTTTTTCTTCTTTGTTTCCTATCATAATTTAAAAAAAAAATGTAAAGTTGATTTTACAATTACAAAATATGCACATAGGTAAACAAATAGATGATTAAATTATCTGAAATGCTAAATGTCGTTTCAATTTTACTAATACTGTTTTGACTTCGAACCTAATTTTGACATATTTCTATTTTGATTTTGGCAAAATTCGAAACACGAAAACTGTAGTACTTTGGGTTAACTTTTTAATCCAACCTAAATCCGCTAGATTGGATGCCGTGTGACAAAGTTATGCATGAATACGTCACATTTTGAAATTTAGATACCTCAATACATCAAAGTTGTGGAAAATATCCATTAATTCATGTATATCTTTCTCGTCCGACATCCAATTTTTGTGATTCAAGTTGGATTAGAAAACTAACTCAGAATACTACAAATTCTATTTTTCGGGTTTTGCAAAATTCGGAATTAAAATTGATCAAAATCTCGTTTGAAGTCGAAACGGTATTATTAAAGCTCGAACGACATTTATCACATCCCTTAAATTATTTGTATGCCTTGGCTCCATACGTAAACAAATAGTGGTGGAAATCGCGAATCGGATAAGAATTAGAATTTTTTTAAATATTATTTCTTCTTTAAACAAAAAATAATTTCAATTGTGTTGAAAGAAATAAAAATATCAAGTTCGGAAATTGAAATAAAAAAACTTGTTTCATAATCGAATTTTTCTATATTATAATCATAATCGATGGATTTCGAAAATTTTTATATCACTATTGGAGAGAAGGTGTAGGCCCCCAAATATTTTTATGGCCTCGGGGGGCCTTACAGATAAAATAAATCTATCCGTTACTGCATTACATTTATAAAATAAAATAAATTATATAAAGATCTTAGTTTTATTTTTTTTGACAAGTAAAGATCTTAGTTTTATACCCCAAAAAGAAATGTATGTAATATGAGGTTCAAATATTATATAAAAAAATAAAATAAGATATATATTATAAAAAAATAATCGTATACCTAATGTATAGCTTGATTTTCACTACTGTCATAATAACTAAATAGTAAAAGTCGGTAACCATATTACATATATAAAATTCCAACTAATTCTGACACACGCAATTATATGTTACTATGCAATAAAATTAGTATTTACCCCACTCATTGCGATTACTTTTCTAGATACTTACTAGAATGAAAAATGATAATTTTATCCCTAAACGATACGAATTATGATATAATTTGTCTCAAATTGCGGATAATTGCTAAAATAGATTATGTTATTAAACTCTTATCGTAAAAACTGCTAAAATAACTACTGTAATAGAGCCATCAGCCTCCATTTCTACTGATTGTTGAGCCGGCTATAGCCCCGCGAGCTGCCTACTTGCCAATGGTAGGGCAAGTCGTCAACCATCATTTATGAGCCGCCCACTCTCCCATGAGTTACCTATTTGTCAATGGCACGATACTAATCGTTGAGAAACCCACCGTCATACGAGCTATCAATTTGTCAATGGCATCGTGAAATGCCATATGACTATTCACGTCGATCGCCAAGTCGTTTACACCATGAACTGCCAAATCGACTAACCAAATATGACTATACATGTATTCTCCATCAATTCTCGATATTTGAAACCGGATCGAGAGTGGGGGCCTTATGATGGGCCCACGCACAAAGGCTCATATCAACAAGCCCATTCGAACACACAAACCAACCTCAAGTTGATTCAAAATAATAATGCAAGCCAAAGGTGGCTAAGACCCAAGTTGACCTATGTTAAGAGGCTTAAGCCCATGAGAATATGTTTCTCAATACCCTGAACCATAACAATCAAAGGCATGCAATTCTTGAATTCTCAAAATTCGTCTATCATATAGAGCTGACTTGAACGTTGAATAATTTTCACTGGGACCAAGCCCCAACGCCCTAACGACTTTTTATCATGCAAGTGCCCACACGAGGAATTAAAAGTATAAGGGATGAATTGCAGGATGTGACATGGAATCGAACCACATCAAATATTGTTTCATAATTGAAATCATTCCGATCAAAATTCACGAAATTTGAAAAATCCCTTCCAATTTCCACCATTTTGCGCCGGCACCGGGGCCTCGAGGTTATTATATATGTATCAAGATCTTTTCTAATCCACAACTGGGCTCCCAACCCAACAGTAATCAATTTTAAATGGGCCGTTAAATAAAGCCCACAATTTTAATTTTATTTTTCTTGTGTAAAAAGATATCTCAGAAAATTGTTTTTTTAATTCAGATTAAAATTAAAATATTCTTCCTTCTTTCTTAGTTTCAGGCAGTACTGAAAACAGAAGCAAAAAAAAAAACCTCACAAAACAAGCTTTAATGGATTCCGCAAAGACTATACAAATCGAAGGGCGCGTGGACGATCCACTCCGATTCGGTATCCATGGCGTGAAGAGCGATATCATCGAATCTCACCCCCTTGAATCCGCCTACCTCTCTGTAATTTTTTTTTAAAATTTCATTCAATTGATTTCTCCTTTTTAGGGTTTGTTTGTTTATTTATTTTATGCTGATTTTTCGCTAATCGATGAACAGGCTAAGGTGAGGCAAGAAGATATCAAGAAGAAAATTCTGGCGAATACCTACGGTGGTGCATTTCCGATGAAGATGGAGCTGGATCGCCAGATTCTCTCCAAGTTTGTGTTCTTCTACCTCTTTTATATTTTTTTTTTAATTTTTACTTTTTTTTTTATTTTAATTTTATTAACTGTTAGTGCACTGAACTGTATGAACTAGGGTTTCATTTGTTTCCTTAATTTTGAATGTGCTTGCATCTGGTTGAACTGGAAGACTTCTTTTATCAATTTGGAGGCTTCAGCTTGTTAATATATTGAGTCGTGTGATAATTGCGTTAGATGCCGTTAGAATAGTTAGTGACGAAATTATATGAATTTTAAATCAATGTCCACGAAAATTGGATGCGGGCATGTATGATTCGAATAATGCGATGCTTCAGAGTTCATTTGAAATATTATATTATTCGAAGGTCATAAAAATTTGCAGTTTGTTTACCGATTTGGGTTCTGGTCGATAACCATTGTTGCTTCTAAAGTGAGCTGTATGGAGGGAATTTCGATCTAGTGTTTATAGTGCACTTTAGTTTCCCTCTAAAGACAGCCTTTACAAACAGAATTTGTATGGACAACGATTGTGTTGCTTGAATCTGATAAGCAGCCTACGATAAAGTTTTGATATATCGACACTCTTTATTTTTACCATAAATTGTTTACTGGTTGATTGTTTTTAGGAATTTGCTAGAGTTATCTTACCGTATGTGCTATTAAAGCTTTACAGATTGTTTTTATTTGACTCTCTCAAAATGAAAGGTCTGAAATCGAGGCATAACATTTGCTTCATTATCTAGGAACACTAGGTGAAATTGTGTAATACAGTTTTGTGGTGATACATCTAAATTGGCTATATTTGTAGTGTTTGAACGATTAGCAGGCTAACTGAACTTGTCTTAATGAAACTTAAAGTCTTGTTTATCCTTCTATTTCTTAGTATTTACCGTTACTTAGTGGTTTAAGCCTCGGCATCCTTTCAAGTGATATTGGTTTAGTTTTTTTTCGATTTAGGGACAACTGATGTATTATGGTTTTACATGGACCACAGATCCACTGTTTGTGATCATCATTTTGCTAATACAAGCACACTTTCCGTAAAAAAACAACATTTCGGTGTTATTAGTACTGCAGCCAAATTATTATCTTATTTTAGTGAGTGATGTTCGATGTTGTCATCACCGACAAAGCGTATATGCTGTCGATCATGTGTTTGTATCTTATATGATCGACTTCCTATGTTTTTAAATCCTGGAACTGTACATTCTTTATATTCTTTCTACTTATCTAAAATTTTCTAATTGGTTGGTTTTGTTTATGATATATATATATATATATATATATATATACACACACACGTACTTACGGTTGTAGTCTCTTTTATTGTGCAGATTTCAAAGGCCTCCGGGAGTTATACCATCTTCATTTCTAGGGTTAGAATCCTTCACTGGAACTTTGGATGGTATCGGTTTTGAAGATTATCTCAATGGTAAGTAACCAAGTACTAAGATTTTTATCCCAATTTCATAACCGGTTTTTCATTCAACATATTGTGTTGTGCATTTACGTTTCGATATAATATGATGACTCAGGGTTATTTATACTCTTGATACATTGCAAGTTTCGTCTTGAATTTAGACTCTGGATGTAGGCGCAAAACATTTTTCCTTTTGATTTGTAGAAAGCGATTGGTTTACATACGATTTCCGGAGCTTCTATTCAATAAACTCTAGCGTCCACATACGAAAACTAGTGGATATATTTTTTGGGTTTTAATTTTTTATACAAAATATATGTATCTATCTCGTTTCTGACATTGAATAATACCCTTTCAGATCCCAGGGATTCTGAATCGTATCGCCCGATTGACATGCATCATGGAATGGAAGTGCGTCTTGGGCTGTCGAAAGGACCACCGTGCCCTAGTTTCATGTGAAGCGTTTTCCGCAATTTCTTGGAGTCGATTTAGTCCTTTATTTGTATTCAGCTTTACTTTTGTTGCCATCTCTAAGATTGATACCATGAACATATTTGTCTAATCAAAGGCTCAAAGCAGACCCTTTTTTTTTGCCGTGATCCATTCTTGATTTCTAGTTTGTGGACCTTAACTTAAATATTAAAAAATGTAATGTCTAAAATGCCCCTAAGTTAAATAATTTTTTTAAAGAAATCATAAATTACCGGAAATACCCTGAGGAATGGTTGAATTACCAACTAGTACATCAAGTATTCATAACAAGTATAGAAAAAAGAAACAACCCGGAACCGGCTCGACATTGACCTGTTGACCACCCAGAAAAGACCCGTTGACCGATGATCCTATGCAGCCCAGAACCGGCCCTATTAATGTAAATTTTAAGTGAAATTCATGTCGGGCGAACCTATTTTGATCGAAAAAATTCAAAGTAAGAATTTCGTCAAATCTCTGCCTCATTTGTGCACTGTAGTCGGAAGAAGTTAATTCGATGATTCAAAAGAGTTTGATAAGTGAAACCGGAAGAAGTTGATATTCGACTTTTAAGTAGCTAAATTTTGGCAAACTTTTGACACTTGTATGTCGACTGAGTGGAAAATATATCAACGGGGTTTGCGGTTCGACGTGTTGCAAAACATTGATATATTTACTTACAAATAGAATTATCATTAATATATAATTAAAAAGTTTAACTGTGACCACTGCAACTGTTGCATTATATTTCTTTCGACAAAACGAAATGTCGTAATCTGAATTATATATTATTTCATCAATGTATCTTACTAATAAAACAACGGTCGAAGAAATCTTAGGCAACATTTGAAATTTTGGCTAAATAATGGCAGATTTTTTAAAACCTGTATATATCCGTTAAATTGGGCGTAGTATGTATTTATTAAATTAGCAGATTTCCGGAAAATATGTATATTGTTAAACGAGCTTCCAACAAACGAACACGAATCGAAGCTTTCTACAAACAACCAATCTCAACACGAATTGAAATAGTATCATAAATATTTAATTGAATATAGTTGAACAATGATCGAATAGAAAATGCAAGCAAAGTAGATATTTCAACAATTGACACAAAACAGACTCGAAGAATAGTTCGACACAAATGCACAACCAACCAAAATACGAACTAAATATTACGATATTTGACGCAAAACAAACTCGACGAATAGTTCGGCACAAATGCACAGTCAGCCAAAATACGGCGTCCGGTCTAATGTATATTAATTAGAAGTAGAAATTAAAACATTTAATTAAAGTATTATGCGGCTGAAGCCTCGTCTCCTTTCCCATCAAGGGCAGGATCTGGTGCATCGAGGTTCACGTTTTGAAACTGGTGGACCATCGGCTGCGTCGTAAAGTCATATTTTTCGTCATTTGGGATTGGAGTGGATTTCAAAATAGCGCCAATTGCAGCGGCTTTCTTTGCATAAGTATCTTTTGCCCTAGTGAGATGTTGGCGAAACGCATCCTGCGCAACTAAAATCGTGTAATACCAAAGCGGGTACTTAATATCCGGATTCCGATTATAGTTGTTCGGGTTCCCGTCATTCGGGTTATACTCTTCCCCGTTATATATATACCCGCTACTCCCGTACCCGTACCCATCTACGTACCCGTGGTGAAACTCAATGATAAGCACGTTCAATTTGGCGGGGCGATCCCGTTCCATCGTCTCGTAAACGTGTTGCATAAGATTGAAAGTCTGCAAAAGCTCGGTGTACAACCGCTTTTTCCGAGAATCGACGTCTTCGAGTTTCTTGATCACGTCCGAGTAATCTCGACCGTCGTCGTCGTTCTTGTTCGGAGGTGAGAAAACGGAGGTGGGAGCTGGTGGCGGCGGCGGCGGGAGTTGGTCCATCATTGCCGCCACGTCAACGTGCATTGAGAAGTTCAATTTCAGAGACTCCATTGCTTCCCGGGATTCCCGCATGTACTCTTCGGTTGCGGAAATATACACTTGGCTCGAATGCACGAAATCGAAATCCTCAAAATTGTCCATCTTGCCCCTCCTGGATATTTCATTTCGTATCCACTTCAATGTTAGATTAATCACACTAACATCCTCATCATAATTTTTTTCCCTTTATTTAAATATCAAGACTGGGCAAACTCATAATCAACATGTTAAAGGAAACGATGATACGACATTTCCAAAAAACTAGGATACGGACACGCGGGATACTCGTAAATATACAAAATATAGGGGTATATTTATAAATTATAAAAATATAAAAGTACATTTATAAATTGTAAAAATATATTTATAAGTAGCCAAATTGCATAAGAGAACCCTCGCACTTGTTGCTCGTGTTCTTGGTCGCCGTCGCTCGCCCTTGTTGCTCGTGTTCTTGGTCGCCGTCGCCGCTAGCCACTCGCTGTTGCCGCTAGAGTTTTGGACTTTTGGGTGGACTTTCGGAGGAAATGGAGGAAATGTGTATTACATAAAAAATAAAATGCGTATATTTTTATTAGGGTTTTCTTTTAAAATATGATAGCCGTACCCCAACTTTTTTAAATCGGACACTGCCTGACACGGGTATCCTACTTTTAGCAAAATTATGACACGGTTCGACACGAGTGTTCGAGCCGTGTCCGGACTTGTCCAAATGTCCATGTGTCGGATACAAGACTCTTCACCTTCTAGAAGTGTCCGTGCAGCATAGCATGTAATTTATCCACCAACACACGCATACACATGCACGCGGCCAAAATTGGAAAAACAATATGGAATTAAAGCATAGAAAAACAAACGCAAACAAACGCAGATAAAAAAAAATAATAAAAAATAAAAAATAAAAAATAAACAGAATATTCAGATTCGACTCACCTCAGCTTGCCTCTTTCAATTATCTTTTAGAAGAAGAAGGACAAACGCCAAGAGTAAAGTGAAGCAAAAAAAACCAAAGATAAAGAACATGCAGCAGCACATTTAAAAATGGAAACAATACAAATCAAAACCCTAATCCTGAAAAGTAGGGCATTGGGCCTAAACACATTCTCACTGTCCTAAGAAAAATTACCTTTTTTTCTGGTTTAAAAAGCCCAAAACAGTATTTATTACAGCCACTCTGATGAGGTAATGTCAAATTACGAAAAAAATATCTCGTATTTGGGTAATTACAACCACCCTCCTTAACTATGAATCTTCTTTCATGTTTATTCTTATGGTGTCAAATTTGACGTAATCTTCTAGATTCCGTGGAATATTCTCTAATTTGTATTCGTTTTGTGCAAAAATACAATTTCTGACGCACCATTGTCCGATATTTACAAGTCAAAAGGCACATCTTATGATAATCTTGTTTCAAGATGTGGGGCTCGAATTGGGTAAAACGGGTACGAACTGAAGAACATTCCACATGATCTAGAAGATTCCACTAAATTTAACACCGCAAGAGTGGACATGTAACAAAAATGATTGCACCATAAACAACTGAAATAGTTGTAAAACATTTGTTGATACGGTTAACTGCATTGACTTTTTTTTTCTTAATTTAAATTTTTAGTAGCAAGAAATTCTTCCCAAATTATTCCACACATGCATAATTCATCTTCTTCATAAAAGAAAAACATTTTTTTGGGGAGAAAATTGAGATGAGCAGCCTGTTCCACGAAAAAAAATTGAGCGAACGAAATTAGGAATTTTTAATATTGTACTTTGGTCCCGGATATTAGATAAAAACTTTGTTAGCAGTTTAAAATTTTAATATTGCGATGTTAGACATTAATATTGTAATATTATCGTAGTATACAATAATAATACTATGTTAATCGGAAAAAGAAAAATTTAAGAAAAAAAAGGCTAAAAATTATAAAGAGAAAGAAAGAAATAATAATACAGAAAAAGAAAAAAGTCATGGCTGAATAACCGGAGCTGTCGTTCTTCGGAGGTGAAAAAGTCGAGGTTGGGTTTGGTGGGGCCGGGGGCGATAGTTGGTTCATCATGGCTGACAAGTCAAAGTACAGCACGTAGTTCCCCATCAGACAGTACATTGCGAAACGGGCTTCCTCGATGAACTCTTCTGTAGTTCTGTTGCAGTTATATACACTTGGCTCCAGTAACCGAAGTCTTGAAATTTGTCCATCTTCCCTCCTGAATATTCGTATAACATCCACTTCGATATTAGATACAAATATATTGTCCGGTTTTGTCTGGCTTAGAACAGGTTAAATAACTACGACAACAATCTATACACCAACACGGAAACATATATATTTTTAGTCCTATTTCACTCGAACTTTGAATTTTGGCTGTCGTTTCATGATGTACCTAACCAACTCGTAGAAATTTATTTATATGGACACTTAAAAATTATAAATGCTACTCTAATTTGGTGGTTTATAGATGTGTCGTCTTACATAATTAAAGTTCTACCAATGGTAAATTAGATGTTGAATTCATCGATTTCCAAGCGTCTATATAAATAAAAATCATGCAAAATAGGACTAAAAATACTATATTTGCAAAATAATTGCATGTAAAACCGAAACATGACAAGTTAGTGAACCATTCTTCCTAAATAGGCCAACATAGAGGACTAAAACTATAATTTTCCCAATCAAAGTTCAAGAAATTCGAAAGCAATACTAAATATAACCCTAATTTCACCTCTAATCTAAATCGATAAATCAAAAGAACCAAATTCAAGCGCAAGACCGACGAAATTCAGATTATAAAACAATAATTGAATGAAAAACTAAAAAAGAACAAAGAAAAATGTACACTTGGCTCGACTCCACGAAATCGAAATCCTCGTCCATCTTGCCCCTCCTGGATTTTTCATTTCGTATCCACTTCAATGTTAGATTAATCATTTTTTTCTTTCTTTATTTAAATATCAAGACTGGGCAAACTCAAAATCAACATGGAATTTATCCAACAACACACAAACACGAGCGCGCGCACACATGCAGGGCGGAATCAGAATCAAAATGTAGGAGGATCTAACTAAAATTTTGGAGTTCGATGCAGCGTCCTGAAAAAAAATGTAGGTTCACAAAACATTGCAAAAAATAAGTTTATATTACTATTTTTTAATTAAAATATCATATATATAATAATTATATTGTATTTTAATCGTCACAGGAAATTCTAAATTAATTCAAATTATTCTAATAATATATTGCACTTAATATTTTGGGAATTCATGGCACGATCTCAAGGATAAAAAAAATTGAAAAATAAGTAATATTCATAAATTTTATTTAAAATAATACAAGTTTTAAGCATCTTATTTTATATTTTATATTAAATATGATATATTTATCTATAATTTATACAAGATTATGGAGAAGAAACTAAAAATAACGGGTTAAGACACATATTTACAAAAACTTTGGGGGTCCAAAAGTAATATTAAAAAAAATACCAAAATATATTAAAAAAAAAAAAAAAAGATTTTGGTGGGTCAACAGCCCCCCAATGTCCCTTGCAAGTTGCAAGTACAGCCCCTGCTGACATATGCACACACACACGTGCGCACATACACACACGCGCACACACAAAGAGGATTGAAAAAAAAAGGAGACGAACAACCGATAACTTAATTTGATCCCTAAATCGGAAAATTTGTTTCTCTCCGAACTTGAACGCAAGACCAAGTCTGAAAAACATAATATGGAATTAAAAGCAGAGAAAAACATACGGATATATATATATATATATATATATATAGGGTTAACTGCAAAAAATCCCCTAAACTTTGAACGTTTTTACACTTTACCCCCTGAACGGAAAAAAGTTGCACGAGCATACCTCAACTTACTAATTTGTAGCACCGGAACAGAAATTGTCCATTTTTGGCAAAATGTGGCCGGGAATCCACAACACGTGAGAAGCACGTGATTTTAGCTGGATAAATTGGTCTTTTCCACTTACACTTATTTTCTTATTTTTTAATAAATATAAATAAATCTTAAAAAAAAAGAAAAAGAAATAAAATTCATCTTCTTCACGTCACCACCACCAAAAAACAAATTACTCTTCGTCCTTCTTCAGCCCACCGCCGTCCGCCGCCCGCCGATTCTGATTCGCCGCCCGCCGCTTCTAATTCGCCGCCCTCCGCCGCTTGCCTGCTTCGCAATACCCTTCTAGAAATTGACAATGCCATTAGCAGAATCTCCACGATCTACAGCCAAATCAAAACACATTATTTATTTCCCCCTAATATTCAGCTTCAGAAAGTGAATGAAACAGAAAGTCAGACAACTACGAGGTTTAATTGAAATTAAATCCCTAAAGACTGAGTTACACCATAGTTATCCTCTGTGATTTGCTCCAAAATAGTTGAGATGACGACCCGTCTCCCTTGGACGATATTTTGATGATAGCTCGCCGGAAGTTCCGCCGGAGGAGTACCTGCAACGCCGGGAGGGGTTTCCCGGCGTAGAAGCTCCGACGATCAAGTCAGTGTTTATCGAGAGATAATTAAGTATGATATGTAAGAGAGAGCATAGGAGTAATAAGTTGAGAGTCACTCCCTATTTATAGTTGAGGGTACTTGATGGGCAAGAGATAAGCAAGCTTGCCCTAACTCCTCTTCTTGGCCTCTTCTTGGGCCTGATATGGCTTTGGGCCAAATACAAGTGAAAACTCAATCCACGGTCCAATAATTGATTAGGAAACCCCATGAGGACAATTTGGATTTTGGTCCGTATCACTCTGTATATGAAGAAATAATAACGCAACATACATACCAGCAAGAGAGAGAGAGAGGAGAGATATTTCCGTTCAAAATGAGACCCTTGATAAACCCTTCTGTAACTCTGTTGTTGCGAGAAAAAAAATTGACGGATGCGGTTCGGGTAATGGATTCGACCCGAATATTAAATGTATAATTTATAAATTTATATCTTCCCAAATTCACTAATTGAATATGAGGGGATTCGTCCTCTTAAATCTGTCTGGCGGCAGATTTGGTGGTGGTGGTGGTGGTGGTGGTATAAAGGAAGAAATTGGTTGCGGCGGCGTTCCGAGGGGTTGTTGGGGTACAGGCGGAGGAATTGGACATTTCGACGTGGAGGAATTGTTGGTGGAGTTGGAAGTGGCAGTGGAGAAATTGAAGGTGGAGTCGGTGGAGGGTTAGGCGGTAGTATAGGTGCCGATGTTGGCGGCAGATTTGGTGGTGGTGGTGGTGCGACGGCGGAGTCGATGTGGGGAGAGAGGAAGAAAGACAACCTCTGTTTTCTTTTTTCCTTTTTATTTCTTTTTCCTTTTCTTTTTCATTTTTTCTTTTTAATTTTCTTTTTTACTAAAAATATTGTGAGTTGACAAAATTACCCCTCCAAAACCGGAAAAATCAAAAAACCGAGGTCAAATGACCAAAATCCGGTTCGACCGGGTAAAACCCGAGAACCGCCGAGTCAGTCAAGGAACCTGGTTGTTGGCCAAAACGTCTCGAATCACCGTTGAGTTGGTTATTTGTGGCTAGATTTGAGCGAACTTTCACATACTTAGTAGTGGGTGGTCGGATCTAATCATGAGTGGTCGAAGGATTGTCAGATATGATCATGGGTGATCGAATAGGGGTGACTGATTGTCGAATTTGAAGAATAAAAAATGGAAAAAGATAGAATATAAGCAATAAAATATAGTAAAACGTGAGGTGAAGTAGATAAAAGCGAAAATAATAACTCGGAGATTAAAAATATAAAGAAAATAATATTTTTAAAACATTAAAATTAATAAAATAATAGCATATTAAAAAAAATCAAAAAACCGGTTGAACCGAGTCGACCCTATAAACCCATAACCCAAATGGTCGTCCGGTTCTATAGCCGGTCCGGTTCTGATAACATTGTTAAAAACTACAAACCCCCCCTATTTTTGACAGCCAATCAACAAAAAAATGACGGTGTTCAATTTTGCAGTGCAATTACTCTTATACCCTCTCTTATTTTCTTTTACTTTCTCCCAAAATTTCTCAACCACGCACCACCAAAATCAAGAAGTGGAGACGACGATTTCACCACCCCCATCACCATCGATCCCCTCATGTCGAAAGGATACACCATCGCCGCCGTCGGTACACCACCACCATCGATCCCCTCACTTCAATACGCCGTCACCTCTGCCTCGACACCCGCCGCTGCAGACTTCCGAAGTTGTGGCCCTTCCGCTTCACCACAACATCGCCGGCTGGCCAGGGTGGGTTATTTCACAGGAAATCACGACCCTCTCCACAAAATCCATTCATATAAGACGGTTACCTTCACATCGAATCCTCAAACACAAAAAAAAAAAATCATCACTGTTTCACGAAATCAGGTGATGGGTTCTTGTACTACGAGCGAAGATTAGGTTGGAATGGGTGATGGTGTGATGAGATTTGGACAGTTGTTGGTGGTCGGATGGGGGATTTTGATGATTTTTAGAAGATGATGAAGAGAAATGTTGCTAATTTTTTTTTGCAGATTGAAAAATGATGGGAAGAGAATTTTTTTCTAAATTCTGATGGTGGGATGGGTGGGGCTAGGAGGATTCTTGTACGTTTGTACATATATTTATTTTATTTTCTAATATTTAATGAATTTCTACAATAAAGTATTTTTTTTTAAATTTTTTTTGTCATTTTCGTTTATAAAGGGGTAATAAAAAAAAACCCATAACAAGAGCACTTAATTAAAAGAGGGACATCCAACTTTTTTGTCTTTCAAATAAATCCACCCCATTCAAACTTATTTGCAAATAAGGAAAATTCCTTTATATATACCAAAATTACCCTCAATTCACTAAAACCCAATTCAACTTCAATTTCATGATTTACACCCCAATTTAGCCCAATTTTATCAATTAACCAATTTTAACCCTAATTTTAATTTTGACCCCAATTTTAACCCTAATTCTTATCAATTCCACCCATTATGCTCTAACTTCTTAAATATTACACATTGACCCCGGATTTAAACAAATATATCACATTAACCCCCAAAACTTTTTTTTTTCGAGAAAATAATTTTTTTTTCTGAAATATTTTTTTTCCGGCCAGATTCCGGCGTTGACCGCCGGAGACAGCCGGTCACAGGCGTTGACTTTTTTTTTTTTTTTCTTTTGAATTTTTGTTTTCCTGAAATTTTTTTCCGGCCGGTCAACGGCCGTTGACCGCCGGGTCTCCGGCGTTGACTTTTTTTTTTTTAATAATTTTTTTTTTCTTAAAAAAAATATTTTAATTAATTTTACTGTCTTGGCTGTTAAATTACTGTCTCCGGCAGCTATTTAACTGTCGGAGACAGTAATTTAACTGTTAATTGACTGTTTTTTTTTTCTTCAAAAATATTTTAATTAATATTACTGTATTCGTTGCTAAATTACTGTCTCCAGCAGTTATTTAACTGTCGGAGACAGTTATTTAACTGTTAATTGACTTTTTTATTCTTAAAAAAATATTTTTAATTAATATTACTGTATTCGTTGCTAAATTACTGTCTCCAACAGTTATTTAACTGTCGGAGACAGTAATTTAACTGTTAATTGACTTTTTATTCTTAAAAAAATATTTTTAATTAATATTACTGTATTCGTTGCTAAATTACTGTCTCCAGCAGTTATTTAACTGTCGGAGACAGTAATTTAACTGTTAATTGATTTTTTTTTTTTTTTTCCTTACAAAAAAAATTATTTTAATTAATATTACTGTCTTGGATGTTAAATTACTGTCTCCAATAGTAATTTAACTGTCTTAGACAATAATATTAATAATATTACTGTTCGGAAAAATAATGTTCATAATATTACTGTCCCAAACAGTAATATTACTGTCAGAGACAGTAGTTTAGTAGTCAAGACAGTAATATTAATTAAAATATTTTTTTTTCGAAGAAAAAACAATTCAAAAAAAAAAAAAAAAAGTCAACGGCGGTTGACCGACCGGAAAAAAAATTCAGGAAAAAAAAAATTTCAAAAAAAAAAAAAATTGAAAAGTCAACGCCGGAATCTGGCCGGAAAAAAAACATTTCAGAAAAAAATTATTTTCTGGAAAAAAAAGTTTTGGGGGTTAATGTGATATATTTGTTTAAATTCGGGGTCAATGTGTAATATTAAGGAAGTTAGAGCATAATGGGTGGAATTGTTAAGAATTATATTATTGAGGGTATTTTAGACTAAAGACATGGGTGGGCTTAATTAATTGAGAGACTGTTTTTTTTATGGACTAAAATGCATTTAAGTCCCATGTGATGGGCCTTTTTGCCATTTGCCCTTTTATAAATTATTAGAGAATATTTCATTATTTAGTAATTCCTATTATTTTTTTGTAATAAATTTATAATTTGCAATTTGAAATTTTCAAAATTATAATTATTTATAAATCAACAATTGAAACTAATTAAAACTTGAAGTTTTGCATTTTATAATTGTTTCTATAATTTTATAGTTTTTTTTTATATGTTTGGTTAATGTATAAAATAGTATATATAGATATATATATATATATATATATGGGGAAAAAATAGGGATATATATATATATATATATATATATATATATATATAGATATATATATATATACCCACATATATACATATATATATATATATATATATATATAT